GTTGGGTCAGCAGCAGCACCGCCGAACCGGAAGCAGCTCTGGGTTTGCAGGTAACCCGTCCTCTGGCCGGGGCTCGTGGGACGGGACGGGACGGGGTGCGAGGGCCCAGCTCCCCACACAGACCCATCTCCCGCCGTCCTTGCCCGACTTGGCACGGCTGGGTTTCCCGGGACCCACCTGGGACCCCATCAGCGTCGCTGTCTCCCGGGAAGGCTCCCAGCTGCCCTGAAACGGCCTGACCCTGGGACAGGACCCAAGGTCCTCTGGCCACAGCAGTGAGGCCCTGTGGGCCCAGGCCAGGGCTGCTGACAGGAGTCCCAGGACACACGACATTCGGGGGCCCTCCACGCGCACAGGAGGGACAGGTGAACAGGTGCACAGGGGTGCCCTTTGTTCCTGGGACGCGCACCCCTGGGCACCGGAGCCGCCTCCAGCCGGTGGTTTGGTAACAAGCACGGCCCCTCCTGGGGGACTGCAGCCCTGAGATCCTCTCCCACGTGGCCAGAGGGGGAGCCAGGCAGGGGGAGGGGGTGGGGGACCCAGCACTCAGCGCGACCCTGGGAAAGGCAGGAAATGCAGTCTGCCTGCCTCCAGGAGCCTTGGGGGAGCAGCGGCTTTGTTCTAATGGGGGACTCAGGTGGGCGCCTCGATGGCTGCTGGCCACAGGAAAGACCAAGCCACCCCCTATCCTCGATGGCTGCTGGCCACAGGAAAGACCAAGCCACCCCCCATCCATGTGAGCTAGCCACTGGCCCTGCCTCGCAAGAAAGCCTCCGTGAGAACCCCAGTGGCACAGAGCTCAGAGCTCCCAGGTCCAGGACGCGTTCACATGGGGCGTGGGGCGGAAGGAGGGGGAGGGGGGCCCCAGCTCCGCAGGGACAGAGGCTCCTGGGCTCGGACCCTCCAGATCTCGCCCTGTGCATCCCTTCACCTGGCCGCTCACCCGCATTCTCCATCGTACCCTTCACTAAGCTGGTAAACTCAGTGTTACCCTGAGATCTGCCAGCCGCTCCAGCAAATAATCGAACCAAGAGGGAGGGGGCCATGGGAACCCCGATCTGCGGCCAAATCAGGCAGAACTGTGGGAGCTGGGGCCCTCCTGCCTCTGAGGGGCACCTGCAGTGGGGGCCGGCCTGTGGGACCCAGGCCTGAACTATGGGTCTGACGCTCTGCAGGCAGACGGTGTGGGATCAAGTTAACGTGGGGTCAGAGAACTGCTTTTGGGGTAACCCAGAGTGACAAGGGAGAGGACTCCGGGGGTGCCAGCTCCCGACGGGGGTCCCCTGCGTGGGGAGTGGCCGAAGCCTGAAGGTCCTGCTCTCCACGCATCAGGGGGAGAAAGCGGGGTTCCTCCCCGCCCCCACCTCCCCAGCAGCCAGGCCAGACGAGACCTGACCTGAACTCCCACCGCTCACTTTTTCCCATGGACAGGAGCTGTCCCCAGCCCCCACCAGAGATTGGGGGACCCTCACCTTGCCCTGCAGCCCTCCCTCGCTCCCTCTCCCAGCCTGGCTTCAGGCGATTCTAATGGCAAAGGGGAGAAGCCACCAAGGACTGCGGCCACGGCCCGTCGGGAAGGGCCTGGCTGGTGTCACCATCCCAAGCTTGGAGGACGGCCAGGTGCTCACCGAGCCTGTCCCGTGACCCTTGCCAGCACCTGAGTTACCCAAGCATCAGACACGAGAAACCAAGGCTCGGGGTCAGCCCCTGGCCCGCGTCACGCATGCGGTCCTGGTGCCAGAGCATCCCGAGGAGAGGCGAGCGAGGGAGGGGGGGCTCCCACGGACGCTCCACTAGGGACCCGGGATTTCATCCCCTCCGACTCTCACGTGCCATGCAATCCTATCCTGCCTTCATTTTCTCAGCCATTTACACACGCGAAGCTTGCGCTGAGCGTGCGGGCGGAACCAGAGGGGGTGATGGGGCCCCGGGCAGACGATGGGCTCAGAGCGCAGGCCCTGGCTCAGGTTCAAAGCCGACCAGCAGCCGTGTCACACTGACTGTGTCCCCCTGGGGCCCGGTCCGTTCCCCATCCGGAACTGAAAGCTCTTCCCAGACTGGTCTCTGGTGTCAATTCAAGGCAGTGAAGGGGAGACGGGGACCGTGGGCCCGAGACATCGCTGCGCCCTGTGCTGGGACCCCCGGCCCGAAACAGACCCTCTCCTTGAATGAACAGACAAGGAAGCGAGTGTATTTTCTGCATCATGTTTTCTATAAATG